CCCCAAAACCCCAAAACCCCAAAACCCCAAAACCCCAAAACCCCAAAACCCCTCCAGTTGAATAATTGAAATCTAGAAATGAAATAAAGATATATTAATCTAAAATTTTAGTAAAGCAAACACTCATATATTGCTTGTTAGTCTAGGAGTTAATTTACAAAAATACCTTCCCTATCCCCTAACTAATTTACATTTTCATCTATCCACTGTAGCCTATAATCTAACAATATCAACTTGAAAAAATGTCAGCATGTGTCTAATGACTTAACTTAATAATTATTTTTTCTATTTAAAATTTTGAGAATTATAGTTAATTAAGTTTATTCATTTTAAATTATAAGTTCATAATCATTAAGGGATAAATAATTAATAATATTATCAGAGAATTTTAAGCCCTCAATCAATACCTAAACTTTATCTTCTTCATGAATTCATAAAGTGTTTTAAAATCCTGCTTATTTGTAGTATATTTAATCAGGTGATTGTCTATCTTAGAAAGATCTTCACATACTTCATCATTGATCATTACTTCAATTCCATTTATAGCAAGAGTTTTAGGCAATTTTGTTTAATTCAAATACTTAATCACCTTCATAAAGTTAACAAATATTTCCTTTTTTTCAGCCTGTAAAGATCTTTCTCCTTATATAACCTTAAGTCTTATGTATTTGTATATTTTTGAATCTTCGATTGAATATAAATTATTACCAATATTCCATCGTCCTCGTCCTCGAGGTTATCTTTATTGAGTAACCATGCCTTAACTGAATTGACCCAATAAAGTTTCAAACTTACTTGTTGGAGTGAAATTTAACTCCAAATGTTTAAGATTGGGTATATTCATTCCGAAGAATCGTTAAATATCTTCTATTACTGAATAAACTTTGCCATTATCGATTTCATACGGCTCAATAAAGTTAGCTGAAATGCTTTATAATTTATTAAAATCTTGGATTTAACTCAGAATCAACCTCTCAAGATCATCTTCCTGAATCTAATCTAATTCATCGTATGATTTAAAATAGTTGTATTCTATCTCTTTCAACTAGGATTTGTTAAGCTAATTTAAAAGTTGGAGGAATTCTTATTTGCTCACTTAGTTTTTAAAAGAAAAATGTTAAAGTCTTGGAATCTGATTTAGAAATCCTGTACTAATGTCATTAAGATCACGGACTCTTAGCTTTAAAAGATTTACTAAGTTAAAACGTTCAATAGGTTTGCTAATCTATTAAATTATTGATTATTCATCTTATACAGTAGCATAGTCATTATTTATTATCACATTATCTTTTCGTTTGATTGCATCTATTTCAATGTTTTTAATGTGGAATTCTTAAATGATATTGCTTATGCTTGTTTCATTTTAACCTTTTTAGATACTATTCTAATTTGATTTAATTGATATGAATTTGTTTATTGAAAAGCTTATCCTAAGATACTTTAGCAATTATATCACTACAGAGTAGTCTAAATCATGCTTAAATTTTATAACATTCATTTTCAAGACTCGGTAGTTAAGATCTTATAGTTGAATAGTTTCAACTAAATCTTCAACTAAAGGAAAATTTAATGAGGACTAATCATCATCAAATTCCAATTGATCATTTTAATCATTGTCCTGCTTATCAATATATTTTGATTTTGAATAGTAGATTTTGAATATGTTGATAGATAGATTTCTAAGGATATTTTAGCATGACTAAATCATTGAAAAATTACAATTCTTAAAGGTTATACTAAGCCTTTATTAGTGATTTTTCAGCAAGGCCTCTAAAAAAGCAATATTTTGCTCGTTCAAATTAATTATTTTCAATTAACTAATTGTTTTTGGTAAGCTACCATAAACTTGTCCTTATTTTTAAAATTCATTTTTGCTATTCATTGAACTCTTCTGCATTAAGGTTTTATTCAAAAATCCTATCTTATTTACTTCTTCAAGTTAATCATCGGTTAGTTCTTAATTCTCTAACTCATTAATTTTTTTAAAATCTATGCTCAAACTTGTAATAGATTTTTATTTATTGAGTAGTTCTATAATCTTTTAAAGATCATAAATATCACTTTTAATTTTAAGATGGTGGACTTTTGATGCTTTTATGAATCTTAGGACATGATTCTCAAAGTATTTATTGTTTTGCTATGTAACATCATTATCTTCCTATTCTAAAATCAAAGATCTGATTTGAATGTTTGAATTGTCTTTAATATATTGACTTATTGAGTTCAACACCATAATATTGTTCACTTTCAAATCAATGTAGAGAAATTGTGTTTTTTGCATCAAAAGCTACAAATTTTCTAGCTTTATGTCTTAGGCGAACTTAAAATCAAGATTAAGTTTTTATTTAATCCCTTGCTTCATAACACTTTTCATCGCATTGTAGTATCGTAGAATCAGTTTTCTATAATCTCTTGAGATTTCAAACATCAAGCTCAAGTTACTTTATCTTTAGCCTCTGAACGAAAAGACTTCTATTATTAGATATTTTGATTTTATCTTTCCTAAAGGAACTTATTTTAATATATCATTCTTTTCTCCTAAGTATGATTAATAGAAATCCTTAGATTTTATAGAGAGTTAGTTCATTAAATGATTTTTAAATTCTTCAATCTGCTAATATTTATCCATTGATTCATCCTACATAATATGATCTTCTCGTTCTATATTTTGAACGTTTTGTATTCTTTTGTTACCCATTTAAATTCTATTCATTTTATTTCTGATGAAATATTTACTTTAATTAATTATAAGAAATTGAATTCAAAGAAATTCAAACAAAGCTATTTATTCGCATTACGGGGTTTTGGGGTTTTGGGGGTTTGGGG